CACCAGTAAAAAGGCGCTCGTCACTTTACAAATCAATTGAAAAAGAAGTTGGCGGTAGCAGCTGGTAGTCAGCGGTACAAACTCCTTCACTTCGTCGTCCGGCCATTCGCCTACAAAAAAACGCGCTCGAACGTACAACAACGACGCCCGCGCTTGATTAATGAGGACGGAAGACATGCGTTAAACGTTCCTCGTCATCTTATTCAAAATTGGTTGCAAGGACACGGACCACTGCAAATGTATGTTACAAAGTGTCAGCAATACAATCAACTTTACCTTCATTTCAACTTTTATCATCCTTATCATCAACTTATCGTCATCGACACTCTCTACCACGAACTTACTTGTTGAACTACTTCTATCAGTAGTTTTGGGGTCGCTGTTTTGGTTGCCAGTTCTGCTGCACACGAATAAGTATCCAACAGTCCCCGCATCGTCAGAGTAGGTCATTTGATATCTCTACAATATCTCGATCAGACTGGAAGTTGGCATACTGCAGCGCAAAGTGGCACACGCGCGCATCCGGCACATTGAGCACATTCATCGTCAACGTCTTGGCAGCAATATTCACCAATGACTGTTGCAGCGTTCAAATTCCAGAGTGCGTGCATTGAGTAGAAAGCCCATGTCCGCACTCTCGGCTTTGCTGCGTGTCGAGTAAAGCTGCGCCGTCCCGGCTTTCAGTCTCACCGACTGTGCTTTGAGTAGCTTGCACTGTAATTTGCATACGTCTCCGTCGCAATCGACGAGGACCGGACATTCGGGGGGTTGATTTACGTTGATAGCTTAGTATGTAGTATAGTAACGTGTGGACTTGATTGTCCTGCACCAAGATGCTGATTCTTAGCAAAATTAACCCTTGGACGGAGATCGGCGGCAACTGGCCCCTAGTACACAACTAGCGCAGGCATATTTGTTTCGCCAAACTAGTCAAACAACGCGTCCTAGGCGTCACACGACCCCATGGAGTCGTCTACGGACGGCCAAGTCGCCGAAGTAGGAGCTGCTTATTTCAATGCTATATGCATCAAATAGTAACTTCAGCATATTTACTCGTCAGGATACGTCTAGAAGCAAAAGTTTAGCAGCAGCATTGCTACTTTATCACTGTCTTCGTCTGTTCGAAGCTTCCTTCGATTCCAATAAGTCTACTTATAGATCGCACAAAATAGTGAGAAGCAAAAGAGCAAGGATAGCGTCAGACTGCACAAGAGAGAGAAAAATCCAAGCATCAATAGAGTCTGACCGCACCAGAAATAGAGGTTTAAAACAGCAACAATAAGGTCCGATCGAACCTGCCAACGCTTCGGCTATCTATTATTCAACTTACCACACGGGCGCTTGCATTCTCTTTGTAGCTAAGTGTGTCTACATATAAATGCTATGCTATCAAAGCACGGTGTAATTGGTCTACAGAACGAAATGCCCCGCACGTAGATGCCTGATTATATATTAGTCTCGTACATTATAATACATGCGGTTACAACAAAGACCATACCGTTAAGTCGTACCTCGTTGTACTAGCCGCCTATAGCTACGACAGGGATATTTTTGTACTTCCCCAATAATAAGTCCTTCCTGCAGCATCGGCCAGATAAAATTGTGCCTCTTATACCCGTGGCGCACGGCTTGTACTGAGTGCCAACACAGGCCAAAACCAAAAAAAGTGAATAGGCTGTAAGCGTCCAATTGCATGGCTCCCCTATTGTAAAAGCTTCCTTATTAGGTGACCTTATTTATTTGTCGGAATCTTTGTCGAAATAAAAAAATGGGGAATCTTTATACATTATTTGCAAAGCTCTTTGATTTATTCTGTGATAGCTAGAGATTTATGCCGTGTGACCCATCAGACCTCCCGGGGGTGATCTGCAAGTACCACGGCTCGGTTTGAACTCGCCAAGGGCCCACACCCCTCATTACACTATGGGGCTTTTCGGCTAGTAGGGCCTCCAGCCCACCCAACTATCACACACCCTTCGGTGCGGGTTGGCAGGGCGGCCACCCATTGGGTGGTTGCTCGTCATACTTTATTAGCCTATCTCCGGCGACCTGTAATCGAGCCCCCCTCCAGGATATCGATCAAGGTACCTCCCGGTCCCAGCTTCAGTGGTCTACCACTCGGTTCTGTGATAACTAGAATAGACGCGCGGGCTAGCGGCTTCAGATTGCACACAAGCTATTCGTTTGTTCAATACAATATATATATATATATAATTTATATATGTAATGATGGAGCATTTGGCGATTTTATGGCGGCGCGTGTCTTAGATATGCTGCAAGTACGGTGTCTTATGCATATAGTTGGTAGCACGACCTTTGAGAGACGAAAAAAGGTTGGTTGTAAGTTAGAACGTCTCTTGGGAGCTGTTCGACCCTTTCAACGACTCGTTGCACCACTATGCTCTAAAATAAAAGCTTATGGTATAAATGCACCGACTCCAGTTGTTACAAGTGCAAGCGACGAGAGAAAGCCGTCATCTACACACGGATGCGAAAGGAATCCGTCTTTCACAATGTGTTTATGATTGGTTACCATTCTCCATCATGCACATCTTACAGAGCGGTAGTAATGCACATCCACCGGGCCGTCGTGGCTACTCATAGACATTTAGATTTTTTTATCGACTGCCTATATCTTTCACTCTCAATAAGTACCATTTCATTTAGCTGTACGTGTGTGTAACATCGGATGAAGACGACAAGAACAGATGATACCTGAAAAGCCGATCCATCCAGTCCCGTGACGGGCAGTTTGGCATCCTCTTGTATTGAGGTAGTAGTATCGTATTTTACTTCCGGAACCGTCCCCAATGTATTCTACTCCAAACTTTTTTTCTTTTAGGGGACAATGGGTACCAAGAATATTTCGCCACCACGAAGTGGTGACCAGGTACACTTACCTGTTACCGGTTGCTTGCAGTCACACCTAAGATCATTACGCTGTAACCCCTTACTTCGATCAATCGCTTTTGGCGGAAGTCTGTCTTACAGTGGCCGAAGTGTGCGAAGTATGTCTCGGGCATGCTTTTAGCATATCCTCAAGTTGCGTGGGCAGTAAACAACGGACGATTAACGATCGACGGCGATCCTGAGCACCGCGACGCTACTCTGGTACGCGTACAAGTCAGGTCGTGGGATTGCGCCAGCTGCCATTGAAAGGTCCCCCGCGGCGTCTGCATTCGCTTCGGCGCGGCACACAGATGTATGACGGCAGCTCAGGCGGCTGCGGCACAAATAAACATTGGAATACGTCAAGTCACTAGGCTACAGCCGCGTAGTCGGACGTATCGGAGTGCATTACCGAAGATGACCAGCTTTGTACACTCACGGACTCAAATTACCACAGGGTTGTCGTTTGGGCTAGAAGATACCAGAGATCTCGTAAATTTCAACATCGAAATAGACTAGCCCACCTTTCTTTGCCAAAATCCACTATACTTCGGGACGGGGCTGAAACTGCTAGTTGCTGAAGCAGTAGGCCCAGCTGTCGCACAAGACTTCTTCTTACTCGATCGGTCCATCACTATCTTCAAATTCGTGTATACTGCTATCGTAGCTTAAGTTGTTAGCCCACTATGAGGCTTGCTCAAGAATGACTTGCGATCATAATTAACTTACGAATGGATATTTTTTACTTGGTCAGGAAAGCTCATACATGCGTTACATCTTTCCCAAAATTACACCGTTCAGCTCAAGCCAGTCTTTTCTCCCCTGTGGGGGGCGGCCACTTCTGCGGGAATCCTTCCCCTTGAGGAGCCAAAGGGGTTTGGGTTTTACCTCGAGCAAACTGCAGTCGCAGTCTCGGCTGTGGGCGTCGTGGACCGCCGGGTCGCGCAAGCGACCAAAAAGGGGTAGGGTACGGAACGGAGGCGTACCCCCGCCACGTGTCGCCGCTGCGGCGGTCGCACGGTCCAAGTCCTGGGGGTCGCGCAAGCGGCAAAGGAAGTCATCATCGCAGGTGGATGAGCTGCTAAAGTTGGCGTTTTCCGCGCCTTGCAGTTACTTCGGTGATCGAACACTTTATCAAGAAGGGGGGCTTCCCCCACTCTCGGTATTGTAGCCTTGGCGATAGCATTCGCCAGAATACAGGCTGTGTCAATGATTTTAGGGGTCTACTGATCCTATCATGTACCACGGTTCGGCCGACAGCACGTGTTGTCGGTCCTCGACCTCGAATGCCTTTTTTGGAAGGACCAGCCACCATTAGCCCCGGGTCTCCCGGCGCCAATGTCTGGCTTAGCAAAACGCAGTTGTTAAAACGCATAGATAACACCGTGCAAATAGACAATATGACCACCATCACACATGCGTTGGATCGTACGTGTATGATGGAAAATATACATCCACGATTTCCCGGACGACCAATACTAATGGCCTGTTGCCTTTTTTTCATTCGCACGATTTAGTCGTAGCCTAAAGCCAGACGATTCCTCTGAGCAGATAAAAATTCGAAGCTTGGACTTTCTATGAGCAAAGTTTTCAAGATGAAAAGTATGAGCGTGCGTGTGACATCACTCGTATCACGCGGCTACTGAGTGAAAAGAGTAAACAACATGGATCGAGTATCGAAAAGACGGACCACTGACGTTGAAGCACGGTCAAATAAAAATCGCTGCATCTGCATTCTCCTCCGAATGCTAGATGATAGTGATGAAACTGCACATCTACAGCTGCCACACAGCTCAGACTAGCTTCCTGCATGTAAGAATTTACCTGTCAAGAAGAAGCAGGACTCTTCAACACAGGTCATAAAAGTGACATAAACCGGTCAGGATGCTGTCTGGCCCCGATGTTTGGAGCAGTTTCTCTGCAGCCGCAACTCTTAATTTCTCATCGGAATACCGTCTGGCAGGTACAGGCTGATTGGAAGTCGACAAAGCAGATACCAGACAGAATCTCACTTTCAAAGTCAATAGAAGACCCACTTTGCTTTCCACTATTCATTCTGCACTCCACTACCAAGAGTGCCTTATCTTGGTCATCACCCTCGTAGTTCAGATATGAGGTTCACTTACCTTCGTGCGGTCCTCGTTAGCGTGCTGCTTCTCAACCATTCTTGTCACGCTGCAGGCCTCGAAAAATCAAAGGCGGACGCACTCGAAGCGCGAGGCGAGCACGACAAGGCCAAACGCCTTTTGAGATTGCGCGGTGTCGACGACGCCGATCAAGATGAAAGAATGGCACGTATATATCCGGGCCATCCGACGCCGCCCAAAGACTTCGGTATCGGCCCAAAATTTCTTAAGTCCCTGCTCATCTCGTTGAAGCTATGGCAGTCTAAGGTTCCGCGCATTGGCTGGGACTCCATCATTCGTTCTTCTTCCGACATCGAGCGTCTTCAGCTTTCGTGGAAAGCCTTCGAGAACCATGGGACGTATCAGTCGGTTGTGGACGACGTTTTACGCCATGTATCGTCGATGTCGTCGATGTCGCCGACGTCACCGACGTCGTCGCTATTGGAGAAGCAGCTTTATGACGAGCTCATCATGGTGGATTCTAGCAAAGCGATGGTCACGCTCGAGCTCTTACAGCGATTTCCAGAGACGACGGTCTTGGCGCAGAATATCGAGCAGCGATTTTTTGCAGAGTATGGCGGCTACGACTCGGAAACTCTCCGCCAAAAGCTTTATTTGCCTCTCAATGACAGAATGCAGGACGGGCTTCACGTAATTGAGCATTACATGCAGAACTTTATTGCGAAGTTTCGTATTTGGCAATTGAAAAACCAGCCGCCGTTACATACTAGCACTTGATGTGTCATGCATCAGCCTGCTACGTTCTAGCCAACATAGCAACATTTATAAATGTAACAAGTAGATTTTTTGATCCCAGATTAGTCGTGTGCATTTGGCGTCTGTCTCTTCTTCTCCTCTCCCTTCTACAAAATAATGCAAGACTTATTAAATATGGCTCATACTCTGCAAAGCATAGGCTCAGTCGTTGCTCTTTTTGCCGGTACAGTCGACAATCTTGTCTCCTACTCACTTTACACAGACCAAATGCCGTAAACAGTGCTCCTGCTTCGTGGCGAAGCACACCATAATTGACACTTCTAGAGTCCTCAATAAGTACAAGATGTTTTGCCAAGATATAAAAATAAGGATACACATCTATTTAAGTCCGTGAGATGAACGAGGGTCCCTCTTGTAAAAGCTGTCCGTCGAATAAGTGCATGTCGTGGATGCTTTATATTCAAGGTACTGAGTACGCAATGTACGTGCAAGAGTATCCAACGTAACAGCATAACCTATTTCTAGTAAGATGAAAATGTTAGGACCGATGTATAGTACGTAGCATTTCAAGCCTTGACCTGAACAGAAACGTATAGGGGTCATGTTACGGCATGAGTATTATTCATGCCGTTGACATCATGTAGGTCGAATTAATATTATCTGAATCGATATAACGTTCAACCATTTTTTATGTAGAGTATAATTCGATAATATATTGTCGTCGGAGGTAACATTTTTTAAAGAAAATAAATAGTGCTTTAACTAAGAACGAAAATAAAAAATGCCATAGATAATTGAGAAAAAAACATGCCCGACGTCCTAGTTTTATTAAGATATGTGGAACAAATTAAATTAAATTTTGTGAAGAATTTTGTTTTCCTTTTCACGGCCGTGACCGACCCCTGTAGCGCGGTGAGCCCGTTACATAAAAATAAATATTTTTGTAATAATTTTGAAGCCTTATCGATTTTGATGATGTTCAATTGACGTTACTCATAAGGAGTGAGGTTAAAGGAATATTACCCCCAAGAGTAATATTTCTTGGATGGGTTGCTGCACTTGATGGTTGATGTTCACGGTGCATCAATCACATTAACCAACAATCGCTGCTGGAAGCACGCAATGTGTGATGAGCAAGAAACCCGCATAGGAGATTGTAGTTTAATATCTTTAGCTCAAGACAAAGATGGTTAATTAAAAAGACATACCTATAGTAAATACCGTTCTGCTTTTCCCTTGGACAGAACTTTCGAGTTCTGCCTACTTCGCTGCGCTTCCTCACGCCACGTGTACGTGACGTCGGGTGCACACAACCTTGTGTCGAATTGACACAAGGCGTGCCCCGTTACAACCCCCGCCCAATTCGGGAAGCCGCGGAGAGGCTTCTGCCGCGGGCGTGCTGCGCTTGCAGCCACCAGTTGCACAACCCTCTCCGCGCCCCCCCCCCCAAACAAGGCGGAGGTTGGTCACGGCCAGCCTCAGTCGGTATGTGCTAATGTTGTTGGAACTAATATTAGTGCTTTTGGTATTGTTCTTTCAGTAGCTATCGTTGATATTGTTGCTACTACTGATGATGCTACTGCTGTTGTAGCTGTTGCGGTTGTTGATGTAGGTGCTATTGTTGATGTTGTTTAAAGTATGTATGCATATTGATTCTCGACATGAGAGGCACTTCTTAAGAGTAGCGTGGTGGGCGCAGGATACAGATGAAGTGAGCTTGGATATTGTGCTGCTTCGCTACAAGGTTCGTACATCAAATTTAGAGCCAACATATTCTGACTCGCGTGTGTTTTTGTAAATCGTGGCGCCTTACAGCACATACCCTTATCCGGGTTAATAAAAAATGCAGACCGCCTGCTTGGGCGCGGGCAAACGTGATATAAGTGGTGAATGAGCACTGTGTAGCTTCAGCGTATTGTCTGAGAAGACATATGATACACTGCTAATACCAATCTGCCAATTTGTTTGTCGGTGACGTCACAGTTAATTATTAAATACATCGTGATCATTGGCATCTTGAAATATGGCCTGGCAATTAACTTTTTGTGACCGTAAGATGCACCGAAGCTGCAGTGATTGTGTTTCTTTTTCACTATCTTTGCGGCACTTCCTTCGCAATTAGTAATTGTATAGGAGATTCCTGCGTCTTGTGATAGGCACGAGTACGTGTAGGTTGACGTTAATGGCTTTAGGCTGTAAACTTCTTCTCCAAAAAACCAGTGTGTATCGATAGCAGCAGCGTTGACTTGCCCTTGTACCTCGATAGAGGCATGGTACGAGCTGGTACCTATTTAGTATATTACATTTGGGCATAAATAGTCCAAAAAGGTATATTTAATTCACTTGCTACCTCTACTGCTGCCGACGTCTATATCACTTGATGCTGTCGAGCCTCTTTAGCAATACTAGGACGTATAGCATTTTTTATATTCGTGATTAAATATGCATTTTTTTTATTTTTCCAATAAAGCTAACCTCGCATTCTTGCTTGAAGCGCGCAATGATTAATAAGTAGATCGCGACATAATAAGGCTTGGTTTAAAACGCTTCATGTAGGCTCATACATCCTTTTTCTGGAGACGGTTGATATTATTTTAACTTAGCTGTACCTTTCCTTTTACGAATCGTGCTCTTCTAATTCAAGTACCCTCCTCTCCAGATATCGTAGACGTGGGTACTCTAGGCACGTACGTAGACTATGGTCATTGTGAATAAATTGCACGGTATCAGTACAAGCGTCTGGTGCCCGGTTAGAGGATAACTCACGATCTCGCCAATTCTTTTGACTTTACGTAGCTTATCCACATCAATTCGAAAAGAGACAATTACTCGATGCACGACGTAAAATATAACTTGGCCGACAAATGTGGTCTTTTCTTGACAATTCCTCTGTTGCAAAGGACAAAGTCATGCATACTTTACCTTAACTTTGACATCCGTGCAGCAGCTAACGATCAGGTGCAAAGATATTGTGGCAATACATTAGCTTGACAGCTCTTTCAACGTTGCCTCGCGAGTTGCTTCGACAAGAATAAGCGCGATATCTCATCACTTGATATATGTCAGCGAAATCGATTCATAAGAGTTTGCCCGTAAGATGCTATACTAAAATGATAAAGCGACGACTATAAGAAGGTTCTTAACCTATAGAAATTACAATTTTACATCGAGCTTATCGGTCTTTGTTTGACTACGGCATCAACATGCTACGTTATAGTTTCATGTCGCTTATCGTGTGAGAATGCGAATCGAACGTTGTATGTTTTTGAAGATGGTAGGCCATCATATCTGCTGCTTAATCATTCGCTTGGGTTTTGTTCACGGCTTCCTCACCTGTCGTTTATCGAGATACTTATTTACTATCGACCGTGGCAGTAAAGTAAGAAGGCATTTCGGCCATCACATGGATGGCCTTTACAACAAATTTGAGAGTCTTGCCAGTTGAGTCCCGCTACAGGTCAAGTCACAGATACTACTTTTTTCCGAACACCATATGGTTCTTCTGCAGCTGACAAGATCGTCAAGCTGACAACGTAGCACTCCTCAATGAACGCAGACTTTCAGACAAAAGTACTTCGGACACGAAAACAGCCCCAAACATAGGCGTGCGGTTAAACTTAACGATAGAGGCTCTCAGTTTTGTCCAAGGTTCATTTCAGCGCGAAAATTGCTAGCCGTCATCTGTTCTTGACTTATCCCTCAGGTCGGCAATCCGCCAGCTATGTCCACAAAAATGAATGGCACCTAGTTATACACGTAACCATGCCGCTTGCTTGTCCGGAGACAACAAAGACTGTGCATATCGTGCTGCTTCTGACGATCAGCTTTTCTACAAGATTGTTATTCTTAATCGCGCCACATTTGCCGTATCTAGCTTCTTCTGCTGCATGATAATTCAGGTACCAGCTACGCACGCGGCCACTCGCTTTTCGGTATATTTTGCAGTATATCAAGCTTGTAAAAGCACATGCTCATTTGTTCCTTACTTGAGCACGTCTGAGTAGTCAAAAGGAATCCGCTGGACGCGAACGTGTTGCTCCGGCTTGTGGCTCGAAAAGCAATAGACTAAGCTACCACCATGTATGTTGTCTTTAAGAACATACATGATGGTATCTGAGTACAGAAATTTTCGAGCAACATGTCGGAGCAGCTAAAATGACGGATTTAAGCTTACGCTGGGCGCTCGAATAATCATCAGGCGACGCAGGAAGTAAGTGCCCTCGGTGTATCAAGTGAGGATTTGATACGTTTTGTATGCAACATTGCAACAACAAAGCTCGACCTACGGCTGATAAATACAATAAATAGCTACCTTATTGTAGTGAATGCTAGCAAATCATATTGCAGATTCAACTGACACATGCAGTTTTCTTGTAATAAGTAATGAAATCCAGGTAAATGCCTTACTTTGACGCCGCACTTAATCTTACCCATAGGGTAAACAACGACCATCGATTATCTATCATACTTGTGTGCAGTGGACATCACGTCCCCACATTGTAACCCACACTTTAAAAAGATACGACAGTTGAATATAGCTGGCCTCACTTGATGACATCGTAGCTAAATTTAGGTAGAGTCATTAACGATGACATCTGTGACCAAAGTAGTAAAAAATCACTACGTAGAGATCGCGGATTATTGACCGCGCATTTCCTCGATTAATTTAGCTTATCTTCTATTGATTTTATCTTGGATACAATAAATGTATATCAGTCTTGCTTTTCCAGCTTCCCTTCAGTTTGCGGTACGCGCAGATAATTTGTTAAGTATGAATAAGACGCCTTACGGCCAATAGTTTGAGGGTGGTTACCACGCTACCAGCAAGATAAGACGTTTCTTTCGCTTCCTTGCAGTTTCTAGACGGTGAAATGTTGGTTATTGCGTAAATTTGGTTGGCTCTAGCCTATACTTGTAGCGATTGGTTGTGTATTCATTGTCCGTCTTGATGTGAGGTTGTAAATACGATTTTTCATACTGTTAACGTATCGTATTGTATTACATCATTATTTTTAACACCA